GCTCTGCTTGTACTTAGCTACTGCACCGGGCGCACGCAGTGCGCCGGTGTTGCGCGGGAAAAATAATGTAATGTATGTTGTGTTGTTGGTTGCCTACGTTACGCATTTCGCTAACAGTAGTATCAAAAGCATAACCTCGTCTTATCTTAAAATTAAAAATTAAAATTTAACGATTTTCGGTTTTTCTTGCCTTTAAACCTAACCAAATACATTTTTCTGATGATAGACTCATGTGGGTTTTGCCAATTTTTAGTGGAATCTGTGTTTTATCGGTTGTTACAATCTCAAAATTAATTAATAATTGAACTAACATTGTTTTCATTTCCATGAGCGCAAATCTAGCAGCAATGCAATTTCTCGGTCCCAAGCCAAACGGTAAGTAAGAATAAGGACATCTTGACTTTTTGTTCACCTCGGTGAATCTTTCAGGGTCAAAACAATCTGGATCCGGATAGATTTGATCATCTCGATGGATTCCAAACACTGATATGAGCACTTTGTCACCTGCATTCANGGATTCCAAACACTGATATGAGCACTTTGTCACCTGCATTCAAGTGTACTTCAACTTCGTTATCTCTGAGAGGTGGAATTTTATGCGCTTGAGTGCAACAGCGTCCTACTAAGAGAGCAGGCGGCCATTTTCTCAGTGATTCTGAAAATTTTATTTTATTGAATTTACTATTTCTAAAGCATAAATTTACTTAAATAAGATGCATCTACCTGATATTACCATATCTAAATACGTCATATGCTTTATAATATCATAGTTTAATTTGTTGTTATTGCGGCATTGCGTATTTACAATTTCTTGATGTAATTTTTCTTGAATTACAGGATTTAATGCTAGTTCATAGCAACAAAAGCTGAGTGTTGTGGAAATTGTATCAAAACCAGCCATAAAAAACACCATCACTTGAGCTGTCATTGTTTCATAGGTCCAATTTAAATTTGAATTTTTATTTCTAGCTTCAATTAACAGATCGATCATATCTGATCGATGAATATTATTTTCTTCTCGTTTCTGAACTGTTGTTTTGACTAAGTTGATAAAGAAACTGCGTACGTTCTTTGAGAAAAAGTCAGCATTAATGTACTAAAATCAAAATATATTGAAAGTTTGTAATTATAAATA